GCTGGTAACGTCCATGGTGGCTAGGAGTGTGTTGCTGGGAAGGTGGTCTATGTTTTTAAGTTTCCGTAGAAAGTCTGTAGTGTCTTGTACAAAACTTGATCTGTGGGTGACAAGCGGTTTTAGGATTGATTCAGCGAAACCTGATATTTCCTCAGTTAGGGTGCACTTTCATGCTTTGGCAGTGAAGCTCCTCAGTAGAACCTACAGGAATGTGTGAATGTACATAGATTCTTGCAGGTTGGCAGTGGCATTTGCTGTCTCCTACTGGCACTTTTTTTTACCATCCGGCGCTTTTCCATAAGAATTTGTAGGCTGTATTTTTAGAATATGGCTTGCTTTTCTAGATGCAGCCACTCATTATACACCTTTCAACTTACCAGCATAATTTCTATTGACACTGATAACAGAATGTAAATGTGCAAGCTCTGTTTGGATAAATGGGTTATATGTATGCATGTTCCACCATCTATATCCACAGTTGTTAATACATGAAAAATTAAAAGCACCTGAATGTATAAAGTTATGTGCAAGAAAAATGAAACAGAGTTAAGCCTTTTAACATCAAATTCTCTAAGTATGCAATATTCATGTCTTAAAATAATCTCCTCATGACTGCCTAAAATTCATTCCTGTTTTTTAAATCACCATTTTCTTTATTTTTATCTTCTATGGTAATATGGCCTGCATTACCATAGTGTCTGGGCAGTTCTCAATCTTTAACAAGTCTGTTGTCAAAATAGCCCTGTGAGGTAGAGAAGTGCTATAGTATTATCCCTGGTTTTGAATTTTGACAAAGAGAGATTAAATGACACACGAGCTTACACAGGAAATGTATCACAAAGCATGGAACTGAATTTAGGTCTCGAGGCACAGGATAGCTGCTGTAGGCTATTTTGTCCTTTCTGATGTAGTTTTTAATTACACCATTCTCCTCATTTTTATCCTTATCAATTTTGGGTAATTTTTATAAATGTTATAAATTCAGGTAATAAAATTGCTCAGTTAAAATAGTTCTGAAGATTTGCAATAAGGTTATTCTTGCTGAGATTTATACATTTTATAGATTTACATGCTAACCTCTCCAGAAAGGCTCAGGGCATTCACTTTGTTTTTATTACATCTGTCAGTGACACTTGATATGCTGGATTAAAAATACCACAATAGTAAATAGTGTCTCCTGCATTTGTTGTCAGTCACTGTAGTCTCCTAGTGCAAACTTCTCCTTATTTATTAATCTGTATTCTCCTTCTAGTTTTATGGTCAGTTCTATACTAAAGTAATTTTTTGTGTGTTTATCAGCTCCATGTATTTAATGAGTCTTGTTGTTTGGGTTTCCACTGTCACTGATAAATCAAATACATTAAATAGACTTATACTTCACCGTCTTAATTTTTTAAAAGCTTGCTATATTACATATTACTTAACTGACATTTCTAACTGAATACCTGCTAAGCTCTTAAGAATTAATCACGGGTAAAGTTGAAATCTTATTTTCAGCCATGTTATTTGCCTTCCTATTCATGAGTCATTCTGTTTCTGAAGTAAACTAATTTTGTAACAGACTAGTCTCTGCTGTGTGGAATTTGGATATAAGCTCAGATTTGTCACTCAGTCTGCATATTGATTTTACTGCTAAGACATGTGTCAACTGCATTTTATTAAATGTTTTGAGTCTGTGTTTAACATCTAACACAACAAACTCTAATGCATGTTTTGGTTATTTCCCATCTCAATTAAAATAAAGGCATATTCCTTGGTGTTTAATTTTATGTACCCCATGTAAACTACAACAAGGAAATTTTGAAGTTCATTCGACCTTCGTTTTTTACTACTTTACACTTAGATCTTGATCCACACCCCCTAAAATAAGTGTCTTTCCATTAGCTTCAATGGATTTTGACTTGGACACTTTTTATGACTTACCTTTTTCTTGATTTATTGATTTGAAGTAGGCATTGTAAGACATTAACAGAGAACAAGGGGCAGCTCTCTTGATCTTATTCCTTGCAAGAGCCCACTTCTTCACTTTGCAAGGGTACATCTATACTGCAAACTTTAGCACTGTATAGCAGTAACTGAGGCAGTAAAAGCAAGGCATAAAAAGGAACAGAAATTCTGATTCAGATGGAGAAACAAACAGTCAGTACAGAAAACTGTTCACATGTTTATTGGTTCAATCTACGCAGCTCAGACTAACCGGCAAAGATTTAATCAAATTCAGCCTCGGGTCTTTTGAGTATCTGTACTTAGCCTAAGAGTACTGAATCATGAGTACAACATTCTATAGGTATCTCAGGTTTTCATTTGGGATCTCCCATTCTAGGATTGAATAAATCTGACTTTGCATGAAATGGAGGGTTGTAGACTATAAATTGCCTAGACAAGTTCAGCATAAATGTAATAGGTTAATTTATAGGAATAATTTTCTTCCTTTCTATGTATTACATAGCAGCAAAATTTTATCAAATATGGACCATTATCTTAATGATACTGATTACAAAACAAACTTATTTTTATTTATGATTACCAGCTTCCTTGCGCTCAGAGCTAAATCATCAACATGCAGCAGCAATTGACCAGCTAAGGCATAATCATCAACAAGAATTGGTAGCTGCTAAAATGGAACTTGAAAGAAGCATAGAGCTTGGAAGACGACAGGTAAATAAGCATTATTGGTAATTAAGTGTAAAATTATGAAATCAGTATTTGTTGTCTGTTCTCTGAAGTATAAGGCTATTATAAATGAATAAGTTTAATCTTTGGATGGCAGCTGAAGTCAGTATATAGTGTATACTATATACACTAGCTTGCCTAATCTGCCCTCTTCCTTCAACAGATTTAATTGGAAGTTGGAAAATAATTCCCAGTTTATGTCTGTAAACTGTATATACGTTGAAAAATTGTACAGCCATTTTGAGGGCTCAGCAGCTATAATCAGAGTGCAAATATTGTTTTCCATTAAAGTTAATCTAATAGCCCTCATCTGCTAGCAACACTTTAGAAGGAAACCACTCTTTCTCTCTGAAGCAGGCTGCAGGGGGGAGAGTGAGTAGAACGCTTTGCTAGGAATCACTAGACCCTGGTTCGAATTCTGTCTAGGCATGGGAGACTTAGAACCCACTCTCCTGCTCCCTGGGCAAGTGCCCTAGGCTACTGGGCTAAAAGAAGTCCATTTTACTTTGGGTAGGCAGGGGTGAAGGGTGATCCTGTTCCACCACAGGGAGAAATGTAATCCTGAACTGTGCTTAAGTGCCAAAACCTGCAGCTAAGTGGCAATGTATCCAACACTTAAGTATATGAAGGCTAAACAGGTTCTGTCCGTTAGGCTGCTCACAGACGTTAAAAAAAAGAGAAGTGGTGCTTTACTTTAAACTGGGCATGCTCCCGTGCTAAGCCCAGCACATGCCCAGAAGAGGCAGCATGTTAGTTAGATCTGGCTTGCCTGATGTCTGTATAAATTGGGCACTTTAGTGGGTTTTTTGGCACTTTTATCTAATAGGTGATTGAGTCAGCTATAGCTAAAAGTGCCAAAAAGCCCCGCTGAAGTGCCCGATCTATATAGATACTGCAGAGGCAGGTCAAAGTAATGCGCTGCTGCTTCCGATAGAGCATGCTTTGCGGGGGGGGGGTTAAGTCTGAAAGCAGCCTTAGTGGCTAAAAAGAAAGGGATTCTTTAAAGCTGTTCTCTCCCCCCATTTTCTTTTGGAAACTGAAATGGAAATGATAAATCAGATCCCAATTCAGGTCTTAGCTATAAGACTACCCAGCCTCTTTTGAACTGCATTAACTACCATATTTAACCAAATCTAAGACAACTCTGAATTTAAGATGACTTCCCTCCCCCTCCCCCCCCCACCAAATTGATCCTATACATGGAAAAATTATAAAGTTTGTTATAATTTTCCATATATAGAATCTAATTATGGGAGGGTCATCTTATTTAACAATTTCTTTGCCTCTATTTTTCTGAGCAGGGACCGGGTCCCCCCCCCCCCCACCGGGACCCCCATAGGTCCCAGGGGAGGCACACCCAGGCCTAGGGTCAGTAAGGACCTAGTCGGGGAACTTCTGGAGGGACTGGACATATTTAAACCAGCAGATCCTGATGATCTCCACCCCAGAGTGCTGAGGGAATTAGTAGAGGCCATTACAAGCACTCATGGTGCTGTGGCATGGTGCCAGAGGACTGGAAAAGGGCAAATGTGGTTCCCATTTTCAAAAAGGGAGGAAGGAGGACCCAGGAAACTATAGGCCAGTCAGTCTTACCTTAGTCCTGGGTAAGCTTTTTGAGAAAGTTATGCTGGCGCATGTCCGCAAGGGGCCAGCAAGGGAGATTATGCTTAGGGGCAACCAACACGGGTTCATTAGAGGCAGGTCCTGTCAAACCAACCTGGTGGCCTTCTATGACCAGGTCACAAAATCCTTAGACGCAGGTGTAGCAGTGGACGTAGTCTTCTGGACTTTAGGAAGGCCTACGACACAGTCTCTCACCCCATTCTCATTAAAAAACTAGGGGACTGTGGCGTCGACACCTACACAGTCAAATGGGTCACAAGTTGGTTGGAGGGCCGCACTCAGAGAGTGGTGGTGGACGGGTCTTATTCGACCTGGAGGGATGTGGGCAGTGGGGTTCCACAGGGCTCAGTCCTTGGACCTGCACTGTTCAACATCTTCATCAGCGACTTGGACGGGGGTGTAAAAAGCACCCTATTCAAATTCGCAGACAACACTAAGATGTGGGGAGAAGTGGACACACTAGAAGGGAGGAATAGGCTGCAATCAGACCTAGACAGGTTACAGGGGTGGACGGATGAGAACAGGATGAGTTTCAACACTGTCAAGTGCAAGGTACTGCACCTGGGGAGGAAGAACCAGCAGCAAACCTACAGGCTGGGGAACTCCCTTCTTGTAAATGCAGAGGCAGAAAAGGATCTTGGAATCATTGTTGATGCCAAAATGAACATGGGCCAACAGTGTGGGGACACGGTCAGGAAGGCCAACCGTACCTTGTCACGCATCCACAGATGCATCTCAAGCAGGTCCAAAGAGGTGATCCTCCCCCTCTATGCGACACTGGTCAGGCTGCAGTTGGAGAACTCTGTCCAGTTCTGGGCACTGCACTTCAGGAGGGATGTGGACAGCATTGAGATGGTCCAGAGGAGGACCACCCACATGATCAAGAGTCAGCAGGGCAGGCCCTATTAGTGGAGGCTAAGGGACCTGAACCTGTTCAGCCTCCACAAGAGAAGGCTGAGGGGGGATCTAGTGGCCTGTTACAAACTAGTCAGGAGGGACCAACAGGCATTGGGGGAGTCCCTGTTTCCCCGAGCACTACCAGGAGTGACAAGAAATAACGGTTACAAGCTGGCAGAGTGGTTTGACCCCAGTACTCTTTCCTGCCATGGCAGGGGGTTGGACTTCATGATCTGCTCAGGTCCCTTCTGACCCTACTAACTATGAAACTATCTTAAATTCATCCCTCTGGTGCAACAGTGGCAGGAAGGAACATGGTAGGGAGGCAGACAGGAAGAGATTTAAATGGCTTGACCCCCCACCTCTTGCTCCTGCCAACTGTAGGACCTGCCTCTGCAGTATCTATATAGGTCAGGCACTTCAGCAGGGCTTTTTGGCACTTTTAACTATAGCTGACTCTATCACCTAAAGTGCCCAGTTTATAGAGACATCAGGCAAGCCAGATCTAACTAACACGCTGCCTCTTCTGGGCATGCACTGGGCTCAGCACGGGAGCATGCCCAGCTTAAAGTAAAACGCCACTTCTCAGGGAACTGATGGGCATGATCCCCTTTGAGGCCAATCTGAGGGGGAGAGGAGTCCAGGAGAGCTGGCTGTACTTTAAAGAAGCCTTACTGAGGGTGCAGGAACAAACCATCCTGATGTGCAGGAACACTAGCAAATATGGCAGAAGACCATCTTGGCTTGGCAGGGAACTAACTCTTCAGGAAGCTAAAACACAAAAAAGAAGCTTATAAGAAGTTGAAACCTGGACAAGCAACTAGGGAAGAGTATAAGAATATTGCTTGGGCATGCAAGGATGAAATCAGGAAGGCCAAAGCCTTACCTTGCAACAATTGGAGTTACAGCTAGCAAGGGACATGAAGAGTAACAAGAAGGGTTTCTACAAGTATCTCAGTAACAAGAGGAAGATCAAGGAAAGTGCGGGTCCCTTATTGAATGAGGGAGGCAACCTAGTGACAGAGGATGCAGAAAATGCTGAAGTGCTCAATGACTTTTTCACCTCAGTCTTCCAGGCAAGGCAGGCTCCCAGACTACTGCACTGAGCAGCACAGTTTGGGGAGGAGGTGAGCAGCCAACAATGGCAAAAGAACAGGTTAGGGACTGTCTAGAAAAGCTGGACATGTCCAAGTCCATGGGGCCAGATGGGATGCCCCTGAGGGAGGGGGCCAATGTGATTGCAGAGCCACTGGCCATCATCTTTGAAAACTCATGGTGATTGGCAGAGGTCCTGAATGATTGGAGAAAGGTAAATATAGTGCCCATCTTTAAGAAAGGGAAGAAGGAGCATCCAGGGAACTACAGATTGGTCATCCTCACTTCAGTCCCTGGAAAAATCATGGAGCAAATCCTCAAGGAATCCTTTTCTAAGCACTTAGAGGAGAAGGTGATTAGGAACAGCCAGCATGGCTTCACCAAGGGCAGTTATGCCTGACCAACCTGATTGCCTTCTATGATGAGATGGCTGGCTCTGTGGATTCAGGGAGACCAGTGGATGTGATATACCTTGACTTTAGCAAGGCTTTTGATATGACCGATAACATTCTTGCAAGTGAGCTAAGGAAGTCTGGATTGGATGAATGGACTGTAAGGTAGATAGAAAACTGGCACATTACCTATGTGCCTGTGCAGTTCTCTTTACTTTGGGCAGCTGCCCAGTCAGAGCACACCACACTGAGCACACACTGTAGCCAAGTACAGGCTACACTATCTCAAAATGTGTTAAGTGCCCTAAACTGCAGTGACATGGCTCTATACCAGGATCCATCCCTAATTTTATGGACAGACAAATTATACCAAGATAAAAGGTGGGGAGGAGATTTACTTTGCATCAGCTGTTTTGCACAACTCAATCATGTGTCCATTCCTATCCTGCAGTATGTGGAAGTTCAACCAGAACAGCTTGCCCCTGAATAAAGCAGGATGAGGCAGAGTTTTTATTCATACTATTCTGTTTCCAGTTTGGGAAGGAATACAGGCAAAGTATGTCTTGGACTGGACAATATCTCTTATTAGTAAACTCTTTAAGAAGTATTGAGACATATTAACTGTAATGCACGATGACACATTGGAGAGAGAATACTTTTTAAACCTTCCTTTCTGTTACTGTTACCCTTCATTTATCACATTGCTGCTTAAATTTTAAGCTCTTTGGGAGTGGGACCATGTCTTGGTACATATTTGTACTGTGGTCAGCATAATTAAACTAAGCTCTTGATTTGGACCTCTCGTTCACACAATGAAAAAATGGTCTTGGTCTTCTGTCTTATTTTGTTTATCAGTATTTGGATAATGATGCTGTACCTTTGCACTCACTACTTAAACACTGATAATGGGAAATAAAGAAGAAAAATCATAAAATAGAAAAAGTAGGGTATATTATGATCTCCCACAAGTAAGTATTATACATCTGGAAGAGGAATTCATTAAAGTATCCTTTATACTTGTTGCTTGTCTGACAGGAAAAGGAATTTTTATGCCGAATATCAGATCTACAGGATGAGCTGAGACACCGAGATCATCATATAGCAGAACTGGATAAAGAGATTCTTAATCTTCATGAGAATATAAGTGCCCTGACCAAGGAACTGGAGTTTAAGGGGAAAGAAGTTCTTAGAATACGCAGTGAATCCAACCAACAGATCAGGTATGAATTTTTCCTACTATAAACTAAAATGTTTTTTCATTACTAATCTCAGTGACTGCAGTTTATAAGAGATACTTGCCTCTTTGTCTTGTTAGACATTTAGTCATGTAACAGTATGATTTACCCTCTGATAGGGTAAATCATACCCTATCAGCATCTGATAGAAAATGCTAATACCATGTATAGCAGGGGTGGGCAAAATGTGGCCTGCAGGCCAGATGTGGCCCACCAGGCCATTCTGTCCGGCCCACAGGGCCCCTACAAAATTTAGAAAATTAATATTTATCTGCTCCTGACTGCCTGTAATGTGGCCCTCAATGGCTGGCCAAAACTCAGTAAGCGACCCTCCGCCCGAAATAATTGCCCACCCCTGATGTATAGTAAGGTGAGTATTACTCAGCTGTGCTTTCAAAACATTTTGCTTATGTTAATTAAAATCTTCCTAAGTATTGTTTAAAAATTCATTGGTTTTTATTTAGTTACAAAAGCATTAAAGGAGATGGTTTTTCCATGAAATAAGCTAGAAGATTAGAGAAAATTAAGCAGTAGGATTTGTTGATTCAGTAATTCCATTCAGTGTTGTTTGGTATTGTGCAAAAAGTCATTACAAACCTGCCAAACAATCATGACAAACAAAACAGACTAATGTTAGAATAACTTTTTTTTAACAAAAAATAAATTAAACAGGATACATGAGCAAGATTTAAGCAAGAAACATGAGAAAGAACTGGATGTCTTGACAGCAGACTACATCAGAGAGAAACAAAGCATGCTGGCAGATTTTAATAAGACCCAAGAGCTGCTCAAGGAAATGAATTCAGCTTTACAAATTTCGTAAGTTCTGTTGCTTTAAAAAAAAATTCTTATATGGCTGAGTTTGAGTGAAGAGTAATTCATTACAGTGTCCAGTAAGTTGTCGGAGATACTTGGAAAGACACACACACAAATACCACACTCAAATACGTTGCTTAATCCAGTGTTCTTGGCACACCAGATATTCACACAGGCTTCACTGGAATTTTTTAGATAATTTTTTATAGCATTAGGCCCAAAGATAAAGAGTAGAAAAGGCAACAAAAATATTTTTAGTTCTGAATAATTTGGAGGGAACATATAACTTGTCCTTTTATACAGAAGACAGGACGTGTTTCACTTTCCCAGTATTAGGGCTGCGCAAAGCTTTAGTAGCTGACTCGTTTCGGAGGAGATTCAGCCCAATTCAGGGACCAAATCTCCAAATCTGAATCAAATTGGGAAACCAAGTAAAAGCTCCAAATCGATTCTAAATATCCAAATCTATTCAGAAAAGATTAGGCGAGTCAGAGATTCGGCCATAAACTAAACAGGCAACTGACAGCTGCCTCCAGCTGGTAAGTCTGTGGGGGTTGTAGGAGGCAGAGGACGGACGTTACTCGGGGAGGTGGGTGGGGGGGCACAGAATGTGGGCACGGCAGCCCTGGGAGCGGTGGCTGTGCCCTGGTGCTGTTTGCCCAGCTGGAGCAGGATACAAGTGCAGCTCACTCCAGGTGAAAGCAGGCAAATGGCAGCAGGGCATAGCCCTCACTCCCAGCACTGCTGCACCTGCATTCCATACCCCCTGTGCCAGCTGGAAAGTGGTGGTAGGGCAGAGCCCCTGCTCCCAGTGCTGATGAGGGCACAGTAGCACTGGGAGCAGGGGCTATGCCCTGCTGCCACCCGGAGCGAGCTGCGCCTGCATCGCACTGCTCCCCCCCTCCATCCTCCCCCCACACCGGCTGGGCAAGTGGCAGCATGGCATAGCTCCTGCAGCTTCCCCCACCAGGGCAGAGGCAGGCACAGCTGGAGGAGCCGTAGCAGGCAGAGCCTGCCCGCGGCAGCCCCTGGTCCCCAATCTCCACCCCCCGCCCAGCCCTGCCCCTGATGGCCCCCCCAGCCTCCCAGCACTTAAAAAAAAAAAAACACAAAACAAAACTCTGGCTGCAGGAGCGGCGATTGGGGCCTATGAGGCCTCATGGCAGAGCCCTACCATGCAGCGCAGGGCAGTGGCGGTCAGCGGGGATCGCCTCCCCCTGCTTGGCACCCACATGACAGCTTTCACATGGTGCAGGTGCAGCACAACACGACGGAGCTCCGCACGCTGTCTGGGAGCTGGGGTAGCTCCAGCTGTCAGCCAGAGCCTAGCACCACTCTGCCCCCATGGCCACAGCTCACAGATAGCTCACAGCTCCCTGCTGAGCTGTGCTGTACCTGCACAATGCAATAGCTGCCATGCAGGTGCCAGGCAGGGAAGAGGGTGATCCCCACTGCCCCGCACTGTGTGGGGGAGCTCAGCCACGAGCGCCCAGAGGCCCCTGATCACTGATGCTACATCCGGTGAGTGCAAGGCTTTTTTTTTTTTGTGCTTTTTTTCTTTTTTTAAGTGCCGGAACTAGGCTGGGGTGGGGGACGGGCAGGACAGCTGTGGGGGCTTCTCCCGCGGCTCCCCTTGCCTGGGGAGAGGCAGGCACAGCCAAAGGAGCCACCTGGCTGTGCATGCCTCTCCCCACCTGATCCAAATCACCAAATCTGTCTGAATCAACACCAAATCTTCTGAAACTGATTCGGCCAAATTGATTCAGGACAGTGATCCAAATCGAATTACTGTCCTCCGAATAGGCCCAGTCCAAATCAAATACTTCCCTATTTGCACAGGCCTAGTCAGTATAAGCTAGATGAGTGCTAAAAGTGTCCACACAGCAGTTGCACCGGTCCAGCAATACTGGTATACTTTTATTGTCTAGGGCTAAAATGTCACCTGAAATTTGAGTTGAAGTACCATAAGGCTTTATCTTCTGGCCCAGTGATTCCCAAAGGGTGTGCTGTGACACAAGAATGATGGTAGTGTGCTGTGAGATCCCCTAGTGTGAGGAGGTAAATGCTGTCCTCCCCCATCCAGCACCCTGCACCTGCCTCAGCTACTCCAGTGGCACCTGTGGCTGCTTCTCTGGGAGAGCTTCCCTGAATTCATATTCTGCCCCCATTTTCCAAGCTGAGCACCAGAGGTAGCAACATAAAGCTGGAAGTGGGTCTCAGGGAGACTTTCCCTGCTTTCTTCACAGCCCTTCGGGCTTTAAATACGCCATGTGCCACCTAGCTGGGTGACACGGTGATTTAAAGCCCACAGGGCCAGAGCCAAAGAAGCTCTTCCCACAGTAGCAGGCCAAAGCCTGCACCCAGTCCTCACATCAGAGTCCTGGGTGTGTGAAGCAGGTGAGGGCTTTGTCACTACTCACTCTACTGGGCTCTCAGTGCCTGGGAACTGAGTAGAAGGAGCAGTGCCACCCCCTGCTTTCTTCTCACTCCAGAGTCCCTGGTATGAGAAGTGGGCGGGGTGTTTTGCCATGCTGCTCCAGTCCCCTCCCCCCCTCCCCTCCCCCCTCCCCCTAGTACTGGAGGACTAAAGCAACCCACACTCTCCCCAGACAGGGCTCACCCCAGTCTCAGGGAGGTGTAAGGAGCAGGGGAATGGGGTGGTGACAAACTGAACATCTGAACTGCTCCCTTTTCTGGGATCCTTTCTAGCAGACATTTTCCAAATGAATGTTTGTATATGGCCACAGTACAAGCCCTGTACTTGATGTTTATGGGTTAAGCCAAATAGCAGGAGAAAATTGAGCTGAATAAGAAAAATATACAAGTATGGAGAGAGGACTGGGGGTAGTTATATGTGTCAGAAATTACATTCTGTCAACATTAAAAAAATAGACATGAGATCATTGTAAGTTCAGCTGGAAGAGACTGAACATGACAGATATCTAGAAATAACCAAAGGTGTAAAATTCTCACCAGAATTTTGAACCATCTTCCCCAAGTTCAAGAGTATTTGGATCCAGGTTTTGGTTTGGGCTAATCTCTAATATCTAGATTTCTTGTTAGAGGCTTTTGTGTGTGATACTTTGTATTGTACCATCTGCATGGTTGGGATAGACTTAGACAAGCTTTCAAATGTAGTACATTCTTCTTCAGGTCTGCATTTGAAAGTTTGTCTAAGTCTATCCCAACCACGCAGTTGAATCAATAAAAGATATCACCCACAAAAATCCTTGCCTCTTGTATATTTTCGAGACTGTTATGACTACGGCATCACTCCAACACCAAAATAGGAATCCTAGCAAAACATTGATAACAAAATGGAAAGAACGGTAGATAAAATGGAGGCAAACATAGACCTGAAAGAAAACAAACACATTTGGGAAATAGGGTAATATGTAGCCTGTTGCAAGCTTAGTTTAGTGTCCCCAACTTTAAAATGATGTATTGTATATTTGGAATGAAAATATCTGAGAATAAGTTACACTGAATGGTTTAGAGCTTTAAAGATCTAATGAAGAAAATGATATAGGAGGCATAGTCATCTGAAAGCTTGGATATTATTTTTGGTAGCCAGAGTGAAAGGGAACTTATTTAGATTATATAAATGGAAATTCTAAAGTGAAGGTTATGATTCAGGTATATAAAGCAAGCCTGTGTTTTGAATGCTGTGTGCAGTTTTAGTCTGATACTTAAGAAAATATATAAAGAAAGGCAACAATGCTGATTTAGGGTAGAGAAGGAATTGATATAAAATTGAATTAATTATATGAAGTGCTGAAAATATGAAATTGTACTGGTGCCAATTCATGGTGCACTTAAAGATACCAGAAAGACCCCTAAGAAATAATGTAGACAGTAAGTTATACATTCTGTCTCCGGTGTAAGCCTTAAGCATCAGTGCTATGCTTACACCTTGGAGACAGAAGCGTCTCTGCACCTCTGTTTTTCCATCTACAGATGGAACAGCCTGTTATGTGCTTAGTATATGGCTTGACTCCAGAGTTGCAGTCTTCAAATCCTACTTCACTAGTGCTGCACCCATGTGGAGGTAAGGATATATGCCCATTGGAGAACCACATGCCCCCGTAAGGATATATACCCATGGGAGAGCCATGTGCCCCCTCCAAGCATTTCCCAGGGGCAGAAATATGATCCATATAGAGATGGGGAAAGGATGCAGGGCCATGAGGGGAAACATAGCAAGGGGAAGTAGGTGGAATCATTTTTTTAAGTTGTGTAAACTTTTTCTTGTCTGTAACCCAAATTCATACTAAAGGAGGATTAGGCATCCTGGTTCACTCCAGGGCTAGGGCTGAAACTGAGGACATGGTATAACCACAAAACTGCTGTTTTCTCATTATATTAGTCATTCTAGTAGCAAGTAAAGGGTGGTTATAAAAATCTTATTGCATCAAGTAGTCCTAAGTGGTCCACTAGATAGTCCATCCTAAAATATCTGAGCTCATCTTGGCTAGCATGGGCCCTTGCAAGTAGCCTTCCAATCAAAAAGTATTGTGGAGGTGGCTGTGGAGAAGAGACATAGTCACCACATCTTAAAGCAGGGGTGGGCAAAATGCGGCCTACGGGCCGGATGTGGCCCACCAGGCCATTCTATCCGGCCCACAAGTCCCCTAAAAAAATTAATATTTATCTGCCCCTGGCTGCCTGTCATGCGGCCCTCGATTTCATAGATTTCATAGACATTAGGGCTGGAAGGGACCTCGGAAGATCATCGAGTCCAGCCCCCTGCCCAAAGGGCAGGAA